CTAACTTTTAGAGCTCTGCGTTCGTACCATGTCTGGAGTATTTTCTGTTTTGCTACATTCTGCATGTTTTACTGCATACTTCAGATGTCATATGAACTCTGCTCTAATTTCGTATCAATGCCTGAGTGTTTTGGAATTATGCAGCAATGCTTCAAGTACTATAGATTGTGCTAGGCTGCGTTTGCCGTGATATTCTACCACAACGTGTTATCGGAGAATTAAAGCAGGCCGGTCGAATATTGTCACCCATAAAACCTCACCAAGTTACCAGCTACCACGTGCAGAAGATTCCTTCAAATGTGCCGGCCTCCACTTCCACGTGGATATCCAATGTAACAGTACAGAAACCTCGCGACCAGGCACCAAGCGACTAAGCCGATAGCGCCAATCGTCCGACAGTGATCAGCGAAAGAACGTAAGGGGCTTCGAACATGCCTGTCGCGAATTCTGCGTTGCAGATTGGAGCCTGCCTCGCGACTACCTGTTGGGGGTTTCCATGGCAACCTATAATAGACGCGCACATCAACTTAAACTGTTCCCGAAGCCATGCACGTTCATTAATGTCTGAAGTTGCAAAACATCGAACCTACGTCAAGCGCCGAAACCTTGTTTCGACCATCGAGGCCCAATAAAATGGTTATGGACCCGATGACAACATCTCTTCCCCCCCCCCCCGCCCGAGATAAAACAAAGAAAAGCATTGGAACAGGAGCCTAGTTTATTAATATTCAGCTGGGGAGACTCCAGTTCCCTTACTGTGAGGTTGAAGTAGGTTAAATCCCAGGAGAAGCCTGTTTTTGTGCAATTTAGGGCCTATTTTTGTGTATTTAAGGCCATGTTAACCACGCAGTGCCCCAACTCTGTTTTTCAAAACTACACCCGCATGTGGTAGAGGCTCCATGACCGTTACAAGCGTCGGATTCACCACCACAGTACCTCACTGCCGAGCCCACAGCACCGCTCCAAAGAGAAAGGCGTTTGAGTCAGGAGGCAGGTGGATCAAAATTGCTGTAACCTGACTGGCAGCTTACACCAACCACGTGGCGTCACCACAAGTTTCAAGGGTTTCGACCACATTGAAGAAAAATGGAAAACTGACTTGGGCTCGCGCACTGCACATTGCACAAAAGATAAGATTCTGAAGAAAATGAAAGGTATCTACAGAGCTGGAACTTCAGAGGTAGGAACTGTTATCCCGTGACCTAGCCGGCGAACTTGACTTCCACTTAAGGTTGTTCGAGTGCAGCTGAAGAAAACGCTTCTCGCAACACCAAGTTTTGAGTATTTATTTATCAACCAATTTGGCACCTTTGCACCAATTTGAAGTTTTCTGTCTACCAAGATAAGTGACCTTGTTCAGGTCAAAGAGGCCAACCTCTAAAATCGTTGGCCACACAACGTTTTTGTGGGCTATTTGCGATTGGTCAAACTTGCTGTAGTAAGAGAACACGAATTACCTGCGTTTTGTATTTTTCAGATTTTTGAAAACAGGCGTTGTCAATGCCCTGAAGTGACGTCGATTTTTGCAAATAGAGCAACTTTGTACCCATTTTGTGTAGTTTTGGTGTTTTATGAGAAAAAGAGTACTAACTGGCATGCACAACTATCACATGAGGTCAGAATGCCTCCATCGTCCATTTAGCCCGATGTACAAGCTTCGATCCTCGCATCTATGCACCGGCAACAATCTTAGACGGAATATCTTACAGCATTCTAAGAAATAAAAAGACTAACTTAGGAGGTCGACCGAAATCGTGGAATGACTAGCGAAGAAGGTCTATGTTATCGCGAAATACGCATTCTATAACACGTTTTTGGCTGACAGCAAGTTGTGCAATAACTTCTGGGCAAAAGCTAGCGGTTTCTTGTATTAGTTAGTTGCTAGCTTTAGCCTTCCTTAAGCTGTTATTCTAGCCTTGAGTTCCATTTCGTAGCAGGGAATCTACTCATCTTTGCTGCCACTACCGACGAAACAATGAAATCAGTTTGAAAATGCGCGGAGAAATATCAATATGTGTTTTGGACTGGATTTGAACGCATCTCATTGAGCATGGCCTCTTACGCAGTTGTGCAAGTGCTTCAACCAATTGCCCAGCTTTACTGTGAACTTTACAAACGCTGCCAAAACCCAGAAAGCGATGAAGTTCCAAGTCAGTTAAAATATCCCATGGGGAGCCAAAAAGAACGCCGACAAGCAAGTTCTGGCTAAAACGACTGCGTTCTCGACTGCTTTTACGTACTCTGCCTCGTTTACCAAGCGTCGGGGCTACTCGTTTATGAAGCGTGAACATGCTTGTTGTCATTTTTTCTTTCAGAGATAGCCCATGTGCTTAACATTAATGTAGTGAGCTGTATGACATTCTGTTGTTGATGCCTTCCCCGGTATTTCGGCATTTTGGCATATTTTGACTAACATTAGCACCGGGTGGGGGGGGGGGGGGGGGGGGGGGAGAGGGGGCATTGGAGCTTTACGACGCACTCAGCTGCTGAGGCTATATGGCGTCGCCTGCCTCTCACCCTGACAGGAAGGACGGGAACCGAGGGGAGTCGAACCCCGTATCTCTGGTTTCTCAGACGTGCAGCAGTTAACGCAAACGCGTTAATCACAACACTTTCGCCACCTTGAACATCGGCACCGAAATTTTTTTGTAAAATTACACAATTATGTATCTGCAATAGCACATGTTACACCTCAAAAGTAACATCGAGGTAAAGTTACTTCTACGAACATGCTGTGTCATTCTAATGTTTTCAGCTGCGTAAATCAGCTGCATGAAATTAGCCCACTGTTCCTGCGAGCTGTAAAGTGCCCTACAACATGGGCTACTATACAACATGGGCTACTACATACTACCATAATGTCCTAACCCTACAGCACCCGAGATCATATGCCCTACAAGAATGCATGGCATGCCCAGTGCGATGTTCCCATCAGGCAATCAGTATGAAATATTACCTGACTGCGAGGCAAAATCTCAGCACCCATGGTCCTTTAGGATGCAGGCAAGAAGTCCATTACGTGTCATTTCTCAGCCAGAAACTCCTTTTAAAACACTGATCGTGCGAACACAGGCGTGGAAGCAATTCCCACAGCAGTCGTTACACTCCGTAATGGTGTAACGTTACACTTTGTGCTGGCGTCATATTGACCACCGGCGTTAGCAACAATTCCCAGCCCCTGTCATTATACTCCCTTGGCAACAGGAGACGCGCCCATGGGAAGCGGCTTCCAATAAGACACCACCGCACAGCCCACCACGATGTGCAGATTTTCTGGCGTCTCCACGCCCCGTTGCTACCCGGGAAGATATGGTAAGGCATGGTGGGAAGATATGGTAAGCGAGGGTTTGTGTGGTAGAAACAAAACCGACATCATGGCAGATATCGAAGAACAGAGACGAGATGACTTTAGGAAGGGGATGCTTTGTCATTTTTACTCTCTGATTGGTGTCCTCTCACGACCAAACGCTCTGATTAGGCCTTGATGGCATAGATATTCCCGACATAACACACACACCAGGAAGAAAGATGTCATGAATTGGTGGTCTGCACATTGAGAGCGGACCGAATAAATGTGTGCAGCCTTCCGGAACGAAGCGGAGCGGAATGGAACGGACCGCAACGAAACCGACCGGACCGGACCAGGGAACGGAAGTAACGGAACGGACCAAACCGGGCCGGGGAGCGGAACGGAACGGAACGGACCAAACCGGACCGGACCGGACCGGACCGGACCGGACCGGACGGAACAGAACAGAAGGGAACGGAACGAAACGGAATGGGATGGGACGGCTCGGACTAGACCAGACCAGACCAGACCAGACCGACCGGACCAGATCAGATCAGATCAGATCAGATCAGATCAGATCAGATCAGATCAGATCAGATCAGATCGGAACGTAACGGAACGGAAGGAACAAACTAGATCAGATCGGACCGGACCAGGCCGGACCGGAAACGCAACGCAACGCGAACGATTTCCACGTCTTCTCGACGCACCCTTTGCCATGCAATAGTATCTCTAAGCGGGAAGGGATGAGGGAGGACGCGGGAAACGGGCGTCCAATACCGCCCCCGATGCTGTCATCGGATTGTCATCAGAGGACCTATCTTTCAGCCTGGTCGCGGCAGCATGTGGGCTAATGCCCGCTGCTGCCGCCCGCTGCTGCCGCCCGCTGCTGCCGCCCGCTGACAACGCCCGCTGATCTTTTCAGCGGGCACCAACCTCGCTTTCCAGACATGTTTGCCTACCGCGGAAAAGCTTGAGCAATACACTTGAGGGTAGGACGGATCTGAAAGATGGCTTGCAGGTGGCTTAAAAGTTCCACTCGATAACTTCCAAATGTATTTTCTTTAACATGCCGGAAAAACAATGACTCTTCTCTAAGGACCGTGAAGTGTATTTCATTAAAAAAAAGAAAGCGCGCTGTTTCCCAGGCGTGGAAAATGAAGGTGTCATGCAAACCTTAACCTACATAATCTCAGACATGTGCATGTTCCGTGCCGGCTGAGCTATCAAATGCTTCCATATTGTTCATGTATGACTGCTTCCTCAAACTGCTCGTCTCGTGACGTGGCTGACTGTTATCGGCCGTCTGCCTCGCAGCGTGCATTTATTCATTCGCCTCACTGGATATAACAACGCACTCCGCTGCTTTTTGTACGCGCCTAGCCTTGTCGCATCTGACCTGCCAAGTGTCTATGTCTCGGTTCGCTCACAACCCCACCCCACCCCGTCGCCTGCCGCTCTTGAGGGATCGGCCGGCGGGCCGCTCCCCTCAGTCCCAATGTGTACTTTCCCTCCCCGACCTCCGATGAGAAGGTCCCCCTACTGAATCACTGCTTGTTCCGCTAGGTCGTCTGACGACCACGAGATGAGGTCGCATTCCACCCTCCCAATGTGCATCCCCCCTCAGACACGCGCTATATCGCCGTGTGTCCGCGTGCTGACCTGCCCCGGCCTAACCGCTGCGGCACAGACTTGCAGGGCGGCCCCTCACCTGAAGGTCCAGGCCAGCCGGTCCTCCGTGCTGCCCTTGATGAGTGTGGACAGGCCGTAGATGAAGTCATCAAAGGAGATGCTCCCTGACTGGTTCTTGTCCAGCACGTTGAACAGCAGGTGCGCGTACTGGTTCGAGTCTGAGACAGAGGGATAACCGCGGGGTTAATGACGAGCGCTGGGCCAACAACTACTGCAAGCGATCGGAGCTTGCGAGCCTGCAGAGTGGTGCAACAATGTTAACTAGGAACAATAAACTATAACAATGGATTTATCGTCTACGGCCAGCATGCTATGTTGTTATTGTTTCAAAAATAGATGAACAAATGCAAAAAGGCAGAGCACACGAAAATTACTTAGATAGGAATTTAGAGGATTGTAAATTTATTAGAGAGAGATCGTACGACTTATTAGTATAAGCCTGCTATATGAGCCGTATGGAACCGTTGAACACTTCTGAATGGCAGGATTGAACAGATCCGCAGTATTCTTCCGGTCTCAAAATTGGTATTAGAAAACAAATGATCTCTCAAGAAAAGGCTCACAAGAATATTCTGTCTCTGTGATTGCTCCGGCCCTCAGCCCATTTCGCTCATAAGAATCTACGACCTATGTAAAACGCATCATGCATCAAATAAGAGCCCCATTTCGTTGGGTTAGGATTCGTGAAATATGTTCACTGCAATGTAAAATGATACGAGAACAGAGCGCTGTCAGCGGCATATGGCTGGGTGACCCCGCTGACTCCGTCATATGTCTGGAAAGCAGACATGTGAAGACAGAATGTCTGAAATGCCGAGGACCATGTGGCTGGGGCGCAATACATTTGGACTGTCACACCACCAACGAGAAGATGCATCGGATGGTGCGATATTAAAGCATACTGCCGGGCTGTGGGGGCTTCTAGGATTGCCTCGACTGTTCGACCTCAGATGCATCTAACTTGTCAAAAGTCTTCCGGACTGCTCTTGTCAATGGTGCAGGGCACGGCCAAAAATATCAGAATCATTCGATTGAATACCCTGGTTAAAACAAAGGCCTGGCAAAGCTGAAAGTCGCCATTAGACATTTTTACCAGCACATCATGCATTCCCTGAAGCAAATCGCTTCTCACTCAACGCTGAGCATTCACCCCAACATGTCCTCCTACTCTACTTCAAAGCCCACCGCCAAGTCCAGTCTACTCCGGCGGCCCAGCCCCGCCCTGCCCTGCCCCCCCCCCCCCCGCCCCACCGAGCTGCCGAGCCGTCACCTCCAAACGGGAAGAACTTGGCGTAGATCTCGCGGAAGCCGTCCTCGTCGATGTTGCCGCTCGGACACTCCTGCTTGAAGCCGCGATAGAAGAACTGGATCTCGCGGCGCGTGAACTTGGTCGACAGCGCCAGCGCCTGCAGGTCGCCGGGTCGGTAGCGAGAGGACGTGTCCTCCGGGTCAGTGGCCGCGCCTGCGGCAACCCGATCCGACACGTCAGGCTGCGGCTGGCCGCCGGCCACCGATGGCTGTCAGGAGCGGCGAAAACACGCCCGGGGCGAGCATTACTGGGAGCAGAGGGGACGTCGCTGAGAATTGTGAGAGGCCGGCCTGTATCGCTGGGTGGCCTGCACCGGTGAGCAGCCTGTACCAGTGGGCGGCCTGTACCGGTGGGCGGCCTGTGCTGGTGGGCGGCCTGTGCTGGTGGGCGGCCTGTACCGGTGAGCGGCCTGTACCGGTGGGCGGCCAATACCCGTGGGTGGTCTGTACCGGTGGGCGGCCTGCACCAGTGGGCGGCCTGTACCAGTGGGCGGCGTCGGTAGGTGGCCTGCACCCGTGAATGGTCTGCACCCGTGGGCGGCCTCGGTGAGCGGCCTGTACCGGTGGGCGGCATGTACCTGTGAGTGGTCCGTACGGCACGCGGCCTGTACCGGTGGACGGCCGGGCACCGGATACGCGCATGGGATGGCTGTCACACGCAGGTCGATACAGGGCGAGCGGTCGGGCCGGCCATGCTCGTCACGCTGAAGGTTAACCACATCCACCCTGTCCGCAGCCTCCTACACTGAGGCGCCGTTGAACATAAATCAAGATTAGCCGCGTGGTGACCGCTGCCGCACCGGAAACGACGCCATCTTGCGTGGGTCATCACCTCTGATCGAGTCGGCGGCGTTGAATGAACGGTCCTCCCACGGGAAAGCTGCGCGAGACAGGCAGCGACCCGCCGCCTACGGCTCCGCCGTCCCCACGCCGCCGCCTCGGATTTCATTTCGTACGTCATTTCGGTAGTAAAGTTGGATGTCACGGTCCGGGAAAAATGACAGCATGATGGTTGAGCTCTTGGGTCTTTCGTTATGCAATGGGCCGAAGGCTGACCCGCAATCAGGCGGGTACGGTCAGGATTTCAGACCCTGCATCCAAAGTGGGATGTGTTCGGAGGAGCGATGTTTTCACGTTGGTGACGTGGGCGCTTAAGTGTAAACGGTGAGGCCAGCACCGACAGCCAATTATCCACCGCCGTTACTCCCCCTGTACGAGGTCTGGGGGTGGGGGGAGTGGGGTCTTTAACGATCTTCGCCGTTGTCAGAACTGCCCCACAGCGTACTGCCCCCACCCGTCGTTTCCCTCGTTATCGAGACGAGAGTCCGTTGCGCCGTTCCGGGCTGAAAGAGCAGTCAAATTTGTACCCCCGCAACTGGCGAATGGTGACGGCGGACTATCGAATGGTGAGTCTGTGTGGAGACAGAGGGAGGTGGAGAGAGAGAGAGGGGGAGAAAGAGAAGGAGCGGGAGAGAGAGGGAAGAGAGAGAGAGAGAGAGAGAGAGAGGAGAGAGAGAGAGAGAGAGAGAGAGAGAGAGAGAGAGAGAGAGAGAGAGAGAGAGAGAAGAGAGAGAGAGAGAGAGAGAGAGAGAGAGAGAAGGAGGAGAGAGAGAGAGAGAGAGAGAGAGAGAGAGAGAGAAGAGAGAGAGAGAGAGAGAGAGAGAGGAGAGAGAGAGAGAGAGAGAGAGAGAGAGAGAGAGAGAGAGAGAGAGAAGGAGAGAGAGAGAGAGAGAGATAGAGAGAGAGAGAGAGAGAGAGAGAGAGAAGAGAGAGAGAGAGAGAGAGAGAGAGAGAGAAGAGGAGAGAAGAGAGAGAGAGAGAGAGAGAGAGAAGAGAGAGAGAGAGAGAGAGAGAGAGGAGAAGAGAGAGAGAGAGAGAGAGAGAGAAGAGAGAGAGAGAGAGAGAGAAGAGAGAGAGAGAGAGAGAGAGAAGAGAGAGAAGAGAGAGAGAGAGAGAGAGAAGAGAGAGAGAGAGAGAGAGAGGAGAGAGAGAAGAGGAGAGAGAGAAGAGAGAGAAGAGAGAAGAGAGAGAGAAGAGAGAGAGAGAGAGAGAGAGAGAGAGAGAGAGAGAGAAGAGAGAGAGAGAGAGAGATAGAGAGAGAGAGAGAGAGAGAGAGAGGGAAGAGAGAGAGAGAGAGAGAGAGAGAGAAGAGAGAGAGAGAGAGAGAGAGAGAGAGAGAGAGAGAGAAGAGAGAAGAGAGAGAGAGAGAGAGAGAGAGAGAGAGAGAGAGAGAGGAGAGAGAGAGAGAGAGAGAGAGAGAGAGAGAGAGAGGAGAGAGAGAGAGAGAGAGAGAGAAGAGAGAGAGAGAGAGAGAGAGAGAGAGGTAAGAGCCGGAAGGTCGGCCGATGGCGCCGCCGGAAGCGGGAGCCGAATCGCCAACTGTGGCGGTTCCCATTTTCTGGCGCCAGCTGATCGCGCGGTATGGAAATTTCAGGGAGATTTCGCCCGGAAACCAGCTCGAATAGAATGCCGTTCATTATGGAGGATAACCTCATTTCATCTGAGGATTTGCCTGAGCTCTCGCAGTGCGTCGGCGTCGGCGTGAGATGTAAATGACGCCGTTGCTACCCGGCGGCGATAGGACGTCAGGGTGTGAGCTGAAGCACGGGACGGCCGGCGCGCACGCCTGTAACTGTGGATTACTGGGAACATATATGCGGATTGGGGATTGCATCCGGTAATTGAGGAGTCCGAGCGAGTAGATCTAGCTTATCCGCAGATGTATCTGCGAATGCGTCTATGAAACAGACGCATCCGCAATACTTGATTCGCGACCTCGCGGCTTGACTCAAATATTCCTGATATATTGTCCGCGATTTTAAGGTTAGCAAGCAGACCTTTTGACTGAAGTCAGGATCAAGCCCAATGAAAATCCTGTCGTCATTGGATGCCATACCACTGTCGGTCATAAGCAAGCCAAGCCTAAATATCCCATCAAATTAATTTTGTCCAAGCATAATCAAACGCAAGTGAGCGTAGTGCCTATTAATACATAAATATCTAACATCATAAAAGTTATCGGCAGTTGTCTAAGCTGGAGACCTGTATTGCCTATTGAACAGCATAGGCTACATTACAGCGCTCACGCAGGTTCCTTTGTAATATGTGGAATGGCTGTTCAGGCGTAATATGCCACTAAGAGATTTTGAAATCCGTTTTCGAAGAACGTATTTCAAGTGTTGCTAGAATTTGCCACACTACGCAATCCAGATATGCATCAGCTTCTGCCAGGAAAATTACAGCTTTCGGATATGACTAAGTTTAAAAGCACCATAGTTAATGGCTGGGACGAGAAAGGGTTTAGATTCTTAGCAGATCTGATTATCCCTTTATGTGGGCAGCCGTACTCAAGACAAGAGATAAGGGAGATTTACAACATGTCATTGACATTCTTGTGTTGCGAATCTCTCGTTAGAAGCCTCCTGCAAATCATCAAGAACCTTAACCGTAGGGGATCAATATTAAACCCAAAATGCCTTACCAGATAAGGCTGGCAAGTCAAGATATATGATCTTTAAACGCTTGCAAACGATTCATACGCTTGCTGGTTTCAAAACAGTCCTCGGCGAGACGCAATTAAGAAAACAAATGGTCACTAGACGTATGCTTTGTGCGGACAGGTCGTATGTACAACATTTCTAGAGTGGCAAAAAACACTTGATTCAATCCTTTTATTTCGCATGGTCAGCAAAAAAATTGCAACAAATTTTTCCGGCACAGATTCCGTCATGCAAAGACAATTTACTGTGCATTTTGATCGCAGTTCGTTGAAACATTAGCACGCACCCGGTCACCCGGGTGCGTGCTTCGCTCACAACGCCCTAACACCCTTCGCTCGGGTCGAGGGGCAATTCAACCCCCTGAGATCTCAGGTACTAAGAGAGCTAGAAATAAAAAATTCACAGGGTGTGTTGGCCAAGACGTGAACTTACTTAGGTCAAATTTTGAGGTTCCTAGACCGCGACCTTTGGGTTAAACAAGGTCAAACAATATCAGATTTTGGGCTGGTCTCCAAAGGGTCCCTGGAACCTAGATAACTGTTCTAAGCAAAGGCCACATGCTCACCTAAGGCCAGTGACTTTGTTTGACCTTTTTAAGGTCATAGTGACCAAAATCATACAAGATCTCTTTGAGTTTTGCATTTGGATAAGCGACAACGATTACGCCAGGTAGTATGTTCCTCAAAACAAAATGTTGACCTGGGTCATTCCAGGTCAGTGACCTATTCTGACCTTTGAGAAGTATATGGCAGGCTTATAATGCGGTTCCCGTTATCAATACCTTTGAAATGAGCACCAGGAACTGCCCGATACAGCAAGCGCCAGAGTAATACAACAGGTTGGGTTTGACCTTGGTCTGACCTTCACACCTAACCTTAGATCAATAAAACTTGTTCATTCAATTGTTGTGTCGCCTAGAAAAGTATCTCAGAGATGTATGGCTTCGACTAATATTCCGTTGTTGGATCAGATTAAACTATTTTCTAGAAATTGCCTTCGCTGAAACCATGGCCTGACTTTGACCTGCCGTAGGTCAGCGACCTTACAAGGTCCGCTATTCAATTGTCTACAGCTATGCAAAATCTGGCGCTGCTATGCCGCGCTGTTCGGATAAAAACTCTTCGGGGGTCAATTTGACCCTCAACCGAGCGAGCGTTGACGCATTCAAATTGGGGCTGTTTAAGAATACAAGACTTCCTCAGAAGCGTTTTCACCAAAATGTCCGAAGAATTTGACGCATTACTTTTACTTTCACCTTATTACCATTATCTTCGCAAAAGATAATGAACATTCTCCAGCTCACAAACCACAAGAAGCATTTCAATTTTAAATAAAATGTAAGCCATGCTGACAATTTACGAGGCACATATGAGGGAACACTACCACAAATAGGGCATTTCCCAAGCCTGCTGAAACTTGAAGCACAAAAAGAGCGATGCTTTACAGGATGACGTAAAAAAACGAACAGATGTTCCAACAAGTGGGGTAGAGTAGGGCTTATACTGTGAGTCATGCCCGAAACTTCACAACCATAAAATTATGTGCCAGAGCGTGCGCATGCACTGCGCAATACACAGCCCAAGCAGATATGTACGCACTCTCACACATACACATGCTTCCAGGCCATGAACACGCCGAACACACACCGCCGAAC